GGTTAACCGACCGTCCTAGTCGGCAAATTTCAAATGTCCGCTAGTGATGTGGCGCTACAATATTTGGCTATGTCTTGGCTACTTTAATATTATTTTTACGTGTTTTAGCTGGCAACACTCATTCGACCATGAAAGGGAGCCAGTATTTAAACGAAGCTTAATTTTCTAATTTTTAACGATACAATAGCGACGATTATTATTTTAAAAAATTTTTGTTAGGCTTAACATCGATGAAAATTCAACGCAAAATAGGTTAATAGCGATATACTGATATACTAATATACTAATTACATGGGATATAATAATATACTACATTAATAATGGATTTTTTCATACTTTTCGGTTATCCGACTTTTCAATTATCCGACTAAACCCAGTCCCCAATTAGGGCAGATAATCGAGGTTCTACTGTATATGCTTTCGCAGAAAGTGAAAAAGAATTACAAAAACGACTTCTTTCTATCTCCAAAAATGATAATCAATAAAACCAGAACAACATAGATGATGGTAAATAGTTAAACGAAGTTAAGATTTAAATTTCAGAAAAATTTGTGTTATTTGTGGAAATAAAACCTCGGGAGCATACAAGTGTTCAGTGTCATAAATATGTTCACGTTATTTGCGGAGAAAGCAATGAAAATGAGGGATTTCGTGCAGATGTTACTTTCAACCTCTGTTTAAAAAATAAGCATCAATGCTGAGAGAGAATATGGTAAATCAAACCTCGAAAAACAGTTACATAAAATGATTTTACAAACCAACTCAAAATTTTCTGCAGTTGAAATTGGTTCGAATGTTTTAGTTAGGGTGCCTGATGTTGATAGGGGACGTGCAGCACCCAGAAATGTTTTAGTTGTTGTTACGAGCATTAATCCATCAGATCTCTATCAGTTAGGAAACAACGACGGTCTTCTTGATCGACATTATGCTCGTAATGAATTTACAATTTCTGAGAATAACTATATTAACATTCAAGATGTAACCTCAAGTTCATTAACACTTCGCTCAGCATCCACGTTAATATCTGAAAGTAAGCAAAAGTTTATCGCTGTAAAAGATACTGTATTGATAAATAATGCAAATTTCACTCAAAGAACATAAGCTGCAACTCGATATGTCATGGTAATAGTTCTTGTAAAAATAAATAACTCTGAAACATTCTTGATTCACATAAAAAAAGACTAATTTTACTAATAACAGTTCCTGACAAAGTAATTATTTTTATTAAATTAGTTGTTATAAAACGTTGACGAATCGAGCACATCGCAAAAGATTTACATAAATAATTGCATGTTGTTTGAAAGTAACCAAGTAACCTAAACTAACCAGAACGCGTAGTAGTAAAAAATCGTGAAAGCCATGACACGAATTTCGCTTTGTGGTCGTTTTGAATTAGCCACAACGCGCTTGGTCGGTTTTGTTTTCGCTTTGTCGATTGGGTCTTTGAGCCTATCATATACATGTATACACGTAAAAATGTATATAAACAAATTTTTAGCTAATAAATTAAATAGTGCCAACGTATTTTTAAGAAATTTACGAGTGACATATAACCAATCTAATATATAATCGAGACAGGTTGATGATAATAATAATAATAAGCGCAGAGCCCAAACGGTTAGGAGTTGAAAGTTGAAATTTGGTACACAGTTAGGGTACGTTAGGAGAACGCACACTAAGAAGGGATTTTTCGAAATTCCTCCCCACGGGGGAGAGGGACAGGATTAAGGCTTAACACTTCCATCAACAATGGAAGTGTTAAGTAACAATGGAAGTGCTAAGTAACAATGGAAGTGTTAAGTAAAAATGGAAGTGTCAACAACGGAAATGCTACGTAACAATGGAATTGTTAAGAGAAAGCGACGTGAAAAACGCAGATGCAGTTTTTTTTCGTTTTTGCGAGAAATCGAACATATTTTCAGACCCATCTAAAAATTCTCTAATTAGTGTGGAAACAAGGGGACCCAATTCTTGCATTCTGTGAAAACGGGTAAGGTTTACTGTAACGTAATAATCTTTTTCTTAGTTATCGTTACTTTTGCCCGAGCAATGCCGGACCCACCTGCTAGTTACAAATATATTTGCAAACGCATTCTTTTAAGTGCTGATACTATTCATATTTATTATTCGCTGTCATAAACAAGAAAATATCACGGTTTAATCTCCCCAATGTCTAAGAACATAAAACTCTCTATACAATAGTATTGATAGTTTGTCCTTTAAAACATACTTGTTCAAGTAGTTGTCCACATTTTCATCTTAAATCTAACAATGGAATAAAGCTCATTTTCTCAAAATCTGTCTATCCGAAGCAATTTTTTTGTTGGCAGATAGCCTATATATTAAATAACATTTATTGCTAATCATCTCTATATTCATATGTCATTTAAACAATTCAAAAAAGAAAAAAATTCATGAGTTCTGTTATTGTGAAACATAAAACGTTTTAACGTATTGTTAAAAAGAAGATAATATCATTTAAATTTGAATCATAATTAACAAATAAAACTAGTTAATACAGTATATATATCTACCTTATTTAACACTAAAATTTTACTTGCAGGGTTTAAAAACTGTACTTGATGTGTAACTAAAATGCAAATCTTATCTTTTAAATGCTCCATTATACATCTGAAATAAAAGAAAAGTTAAAATATATTTAAATATTTCACAAATAACACTTAAATATTTACTTTTCGAATATATGTTTTGCCACTGGAACATCAACCGCACTTAGTGGATCATCAAGAAGGAATATATCAGCATCGAGATATAGTGCTCTACAAAGAATAAAAATATAACATAAGGATAAAATAAATATACAAAAAAATGCAACAAAAATTGTTCAAGCATAAGAATTAAACCTATATTAAATTTTATATAATGTAATCTTTTTGCAGTTAATTTTATACCAGTTTTCATTTCACTCCTATCAGAAGTTGTTTGATTATTAGAAGTTAACTTTAACGTTGCAAAATTACGAAGATTTATTGTTTCCTGAGAGAAAAAACAAACCTAATAATAATTGTACCAAATATACAGAGTGAATCAGAATGATGTTTTAAAAATTTCATGTATTATTTTTGCCGCGAAAACATTTTATGACATTTTATTAATTAGGTAATTAATTGCGCTATTGTTTTTATGAAAGTTTTTTAATCAAATTAATTAAATCGTTTTAAATTTCACTGATTTCACTTCCGTAAATTTTTTAAAACGCTATTGGATGTTTTTGATGATATCAGCTAATTTTTTTTTTTTGTTTTTTGTTTATTAGAATTTTTTCCCATACTTTTTTTTCGGTTCCCTTGTAATTTAATAGCATTAAAATCCACAATCTTGTGTTATATTTGCACAGATGCGATAAGTTAGCTCTTCTCCTGCTTTAGATCAATATTCCCCTGAAGCGTACATGAGAACTACCCGGGAAATCGGACTTCAGGTTCTCAAGGTCAACAAGTTTGTAAACAATGTAGACTGCACATGTGAAATTTCACGCCTTGTTAGACGAAAGACTAACAATCCTTACAGCTATATTTCTCAAATAAAAGCATTTATTTTAAATTAATTTTATTATTTTATATAGGCCTACTTTATTTGTAAAAACACTTTTAGGAAAGGTTTTTATTTTGCAGGAGTTATTTCCTGGACATTTTTTGGATGTCAGATTCGCATTTAAGCGGAAATAATTATTTCATATAAAAAATAATTTTTTTGTGGATTTCTTAGTTGCATTTGAATCAAAACAAAAGTATCAAAGCAGTTAAAACATATTTTACCTTGCTAGATTAATTCTTGCCTTTTGCCCGCCACTCATTATCACTCCCCTCTCTCCCACAATAGTCAGATCACCTTTCGGAAATAAGCTTATATCCTGAAATTAAAAAAAATAATAAATATTAACGGAACGGTGACAGAATGCATATGGTTCAAATTACTTTTTCCTCCATTCTGTACCCTATAAATTATGTGTTTATCTATGCACTACAATTCAAATAAAACCTGAAATTTCATTTAAAGTTTATTTATTTTCAACAGAAAAACTACTATATATCGTAACTGATCCAATAATATACGATATTGGATATTGATTTTTTATGTAAATTGACATTTATTAGAGGATGTAAAAAGTGTCCTAACATTTTTACTGTCAAAAATGGTTCAGATGTTAGACTTGATTACAAATTTCGTCAACCGGAACATAAAATGTTTCTTTTACATCTCAGATATCTGTAATGATTAGTTTGGCAATGGAAAAGTTAAATGCGTTTTCGCACTAAGTTCAATATTTAAAAATTTAAAAATTGATAAGTAATGTGATCCATGACATAAAATATAAACGTTCATTAAAATGATGAATATTTTATGCTGTACTGCAGATAGTGCCAACTGAGCTACCCCTGAAGATCAAGCAGAAAATTTGCCAATTATTTTCAATGAATGACTAATTTCCTATATACTGCATTTATTAGTTTTTTTTAGTCTTAATTATCCCATTTATTTACATTCTTCCTTTCATTGTGCAGTAAAATATTCCAGTGTCCATCTGTTTAAGTACTAACATAGGGAAAAGATATTATTAGACTATAGCTTAAAAATGAAACTGCATAACTTCGTTTTACACGTATGGACACACCGAAATCTTAATAAGCGATTACAGTAAATAGGAACCAAAGTATTTGTTTAATGAGACTTATAAAAAGTGTGTAATGTATCATACATATTACAAACTGCACAAAGGATAGTGAAAGTAAAACTGATAGAAATTTTGTCCACTCTCTGTAAAATACAAGAGTTTAATTATTGAACATGAAATACACCAACAGTGTTATTTTTATTCTGGGAATAAATGATTTGTTCCTTTCCATCAGTTAAGATAAGTTAAACTAATCATTAACATAATTTATATCATTGATTAATTCTTTAAAAATATGTTCATTAATTAAAACAGTAAAAAGAGCACTTAAATAAAAAAAGTCAGATTGATTCCTTTCATATCAATGTATATTGTTATTTCAGTTCAAATTCAAAATTACTGATTATCTATATAAATAATCGAGATGGGTTGATAATAATAATAATAAAAAGCGCGGAGCCCAAGAGTTGAAAGTTAAAATTTGGTACATAGTTAGGGAACGTCATGAAAACGTACACTGAGAACGGATTTTTCGAAATTCCCCCCACGGGGAAGAGAGAAAAGATAAAGGCTTACCCTAAAGAACTCGGGTTCTCTTGTACTATTTTAGAAGAGTTTTTTGCGTTTTTGACTGCGTTTTAGTAGACTATCACATTTAGTAGGGTACCAACTGGGAATGAAAGAAGTGTATTCCTTACTAAAGGGAGTGTTCACAATGGAAGTGTTAAGAGAAAGTGGCATGCAAGATTTACAGGCGCAGATGCGGTTTTTTTTTGCGTTTTGTGAAAAATCAAACATATTTTTGGCCCATCTAAAAATTCTCTTATCAGTCTGAAATCACGAAGAACCTAATTCTTGCATTCTGTAAAAATGCGTAAGATTGGCTAAAATGTAATTATCTTAATCATCGCTATCGTTACTCTTTGCCCGAGCAATGTCAGTTTTATCTGCCAGTTGTTAAATATATGTTGTACACCTAATATCACAATATAATCATAATTACGGTTGTTATTACACTATAATAATACTTTGTACTTATAACGATGCTTTTACAAAAATAAAACATTTTAAAACATTTTTTTTATAATTTAATAAATAAACTAATAAATCTTATATTCATATTACTATTTTAACAGCTTAACTAATATAAGTAATTGTTATATTGATATAAAAAGTATAATATAAATAAATATAAGTGAATGCTGAGCTCATAAAAATTAATTTTTCGTATTCGTAGTTGCTATCAGATAACTTTTTGACTTCGACAAACCTAAGTACCAAAATTGTTAATAATTAGAAGGTAACAACAGGTGATTACCTTTTCTAGAGCAGTTATATACAAGACATTCCTGTATTTCTCTTCTTTGAATTCTTCTCCGAACAAGATATTTTCTCTGACAGTTTCGTTGAATACCCAAGCTTCTTGAGAAGCATAAGCTATTTTTCCTTTCACTATCACTTTTCCAGACGTAACAGGAATTTCTCCCAAAACGGACATTAATAAAGATGTCTAATAAGATTAAAAAATCGATTGATTATTTGATATGAAAATCTTTGTATAAATAATGTAAGTGCGAGGTGTGGCTATAAAATAACGAGACTGAAGCTGGAAGTTTAAATCTTGAGTAGTATACTCACTTTAGTTGTGTTTCCTGTCTATATATGGAACTTCTGCTTTCACACAGCGCTGCTTTCGAAACTTTCACTGGTCATAACAGTGATGCATATCATCATCTGTAAGCTTTGTCATTTTTCTCTTGGCAGCAAAAACTCCTTCAAAATGGTGTCCCTTCATAACAGATTTTACTTTAGGTTAAAAGTAGGAGTCACATGGAGCTAGGTCAGACAAGTATGGTGGATGTTCAAGTGATGTGACTCCCTTCTTGACTAATAACTGCTTCACTGACAGAGAAGAATCGGTTAGTGCTTTGTCCTGATGGAGAATAAAACCATTATGCCACAAGTATCGCTGTTTTCTACTCCCTTTCCTGCAAGGTTTCCATATTTTATTTTCAGTAGTATTGGTTCAAAATTTGTTTCACTTTTTGTACGTTTCTCGGTTTTTGTTTTGCAGGGAAATCCACAACAGTCATCGCTTTCACTTTCTCTAGGTCCTCAGAAAATCTTCTGTGCCATTCGAGCACATGTGCACAAGAAAGACGTGCATCTATGTTTGCATCACACAACTGGTGCTAAGATTCAGTAACAGTTTTTTTAATTTCAAAAAAAAATTCAGGGTTGATACGCTGTTCCTCTTTCAAGCTGGTCATTTTCCCGACACGTGCTAACACGTCCACTCGCAGCAGACACTCAGAGCAATTTATAGCGGTAGCAATTTGAGACTTGCTGTTCTTCTTCTAATTTGTTGAAGATCGTTTACTCGCCTACTCACTTCGGTCGACCTGCAACTATTGCGTGCAGGCAATAACAGTTTTTCGTTATTTTTTAGCCACACCATGTACTTTACATAAGTATTTAAATGGTTTTTACATTTTAATGTTAGTATACATTCCTATTGTTAACTGTTTTTATTGTACATTGCATGTTTACTAGAGCAGTGATACAAAATATACTATTAATTCATAGCTCAAACCTCATATTCAGCTTTTTCTTCTTAATTTTCTTAATGAATATATATAAACAGAAAGCTAAATGTAAGGTTTTAGCTATGCGTTGATAGTATATTTTGTATCACTGATTTAGTAAACATGCAATGTACAATAAAAGCAGTTATTAATAAACTTTTAAAAGAGTATTTATGAATTTAATCATAGTTTAATTTAAAATATACATGTGTGCTTGAGTTGTGTCATATAAAACTGTTACTTGTGTATACAGAAGAAGAGTTAAACAGGTAGAGTTAACTATTCAACTGTTTTTAATAATGTAAGGATATGAAATAAAAATCATTTATAAGGTCTGTTTACCGAAATTTACATTTCACAGCGAATATTACTTATTTCAGAACTTTTGCATTGATAGGAACAATTTTCTAGGTTAGTAAAAACATCATGAACAAATTACAATAATTGTTATCATCATAATTTATTGAAATATATATAATAACCATAATATGAATTTTTAAAATAATTCTGTATCAAAACAGAGAACAAAGAAATAGCAACTTGTTGAGTTACTGTTTATGCCTAAAAACATGTTTAAATTAAATGTGTTACGTGAAAAAATTTTTCAAAATGTAATTTTAAATGCACCTGTATACATCTGTATTACATACGTAATTTCACTTGTAAGAATTCAACTATTTGTTACTGAAGCTATTTGTTATCAGCTATTTTCTTTAGTCATCACAGAAATGCCAAGTCTTAGTTACATGAAGTTCAAAAAAACAAAAATAGTTACAAAATTTTTTGTATTATTTTTAGCTGTAATAATCTGTCACAAAATCTGTCTTTACTTCAATAAAAAAGCAGATTTTATAACAGATTATTACAGCCAAAGAAATAATACAAAAAATTCTGTCAATATTTTTTTTCCTCTTTGAATATCTCTTAACTAATACCTAGCGTTTTCGCTGATGACTAAAAAAAATTTCTGTTCTTTTTATGTGTTAAATTCAATTCAAAATAATGAAAAACTAAAATAATTTAAACAAGGTAATTAAAGTATAAAAATTTTATAATTAATTTGATTACAAATAGATAAAATGTTATATTTTTATACTATTTTATTGATAAATGCCAACACTTTATATTCACAAAGCATATAATTAAATTAAAAAATATAACTGAAAAACAACATATTTACCTTTCCTGATCCAACAGGACCTATAACAGTTAATAATTCTCCAGGCTGTACATTTAAACATATCTCACTCAATGTAGGTTGGGATTCCTTTTAAAGGATTAAAGTAAATAAATTATAAGCAAATAATTTTTATTTATAAGAATTAGAAATATTATATCATAAATTAATTTATAATAATATGAATATTATATTAGTAAAAAACATCTGTTAAAGAAATATAAATTATAACAGTAATTAGTTCGTAATGCTTTAATGTGAATTAAATGTACACTATATCAGGAGAATTAGGTGTACTGTAAAAGTTTTATAATCTGGTCTGTCTCTAAAACGTACTGAATAATCCAGCCTCGTTCGATAAAAATTTAGAGTGCCTAGTCTCATCATAGGTCAGAAGCAACACAAACTTTATAAGAATATCTCATCTTACCATTTCGATCACTGAGCCATAACTAAACCAATTTGTAAAAAGTGATTCTTATCACAATTTTATTTCCATTTAGTGTCCATGCAACACTGATATATCTGTCAACAATATTAGTCGTAAGATCAATCTTTCGCGGTTTGTATTGGAATTTCCCATTAATATTTATGTTCGCGCTTACTTCTTTTACATTCAAATTTAGTTTCAAATTAACTCTGGAAACAAGTATGAAATCGGGTCTGCAGTTCTTAATTAAGTCTCATTCAAAATTAGTAAAGAAATTCAGAAAGACACTATTTAACAATTGCTGTTTTTGAGAATTTTAAAATTTTGTAATTTTACATTTCTTAAATATACAATCTTTGTACCTTACAGATATATTTATATTACTATAAGCTTATACTTATTAAACAGTGCTAAACTCTATGAAAAAAACTTATTTTTTCAGAATTTTCAAAATAGTAGTTATGTCTTACATTTTTCCATGTAGCTGTAACATTATTCATCCATATTCCAGATTTGTTTAAATTTCCTACTTCCTTCACAATTTCGATATCATTGGTGTCTTTTTCATGAAGGAGAAGGAATTCCTAAACAAAAATTTGATACATCTTACAAGGAGTATTAATTAAGCACATCTCCCCACCTATTTTAATATTTCAGTACAGTCACAGTTTTTTTTTTTTTATATTGGGAGTAGCTGGCGTGGTTTAACAAGTGACTCAGTCATCACTTGTTAAAAATTATGTAAAATGGATTCAATACATAATGTTTGTGCTTACTTAGTAAATACCTACGTTATTATGAGCAGTAGTAATTCGATACACTTTGAAATATATTTTTTAATTTGTATGGGAATTTAATGTAAAGCTTTCATACAGTTTGAATTATAAAAATATAAAGCTCTGATACAGTTTAAATTATATTTTATTTCAATTCAAAAATGAAATAATTTTTCGAAAATTGCGCTTTCTACAGTTAGTGCCAGGAGTTAACTAGTATGAACCTTGTATGTGTTTGTGTTCTTCATAAAGTATAAACATGCGTTCAATTTTGAATGATTTTAATTCACGTATTCATATATTTTGTAAAAATTTTTATTTTCATCTTTTTCGAATTCATTTAATAAATGTTATAACCATTTTTGTATGTATAATAATAAACATTGTATTATCGAAAGAAAAAGATTTTTATCATTAACTCATTCAGCACCAAACGTTAAATTCCAGATCGACATCTTAGCATAGCTGGAGCACCATCTGTGCAAACACCACAAGCCTTTTTTGAAGAGATCTTATGCTCTTTCAGAAATAAACCAACCTGTATCAAATACATCATGTGCAGTAGTTGTCGTCTCAATAGGTTTGAGAAAAGAAACTCATCTTTAAAGTCGCCATCTTTACCATACCTCGCGTAAACCAGTAAATAGAAGCTCACACATTTATTTGAACAGACGGCTATGGACATTATCGGTCCTTTGCCTATTACAACCAACGGAAATAAATGCATTTTAGTTTTGTGGACCATTTCAGCCGATATGCAGAAGCGATACCTTTACCCAATATTCATAGCAAAACTATCGCCAAAGCCTTCGTTACCAACATTGTTTTGACGCCATTCAACTCCCGTACAACTTCTTACAGATCGAGCCCCAAATTTAATCTCCAAGATGTTCAAGAAAGTATGCGAATTGCTTCATATTAAGCGACTTCTTACAACCGCTTATCACCCTGCCTGTAATGGGATAGTTGAAAGATTCAATAAGACCTTTGTTGATATTATATCACACTACGTATCCAAGGACCAAAAAGACTGGGATGAATGGATTCCCTACGCCTTATTTGCATATAACACTACCGTCCACGCTTCTACGAATGATAGTCCATTCTTTCTGTTGTATGGACGAGATCCAATTTACCCCTTTGACCTTATCACCCGTCCGACCAGAACTAAATACGATGTAGAAGATAACTTCGCATCGGAACTCCACCTTCGAATGGCCAGTGCCCATCAATTAGCACAAGAATATGCCGAAGCAGCAGCCAGAGAACGTCAAAAAATACATCGCCGAACTCATAAAATTCCTACATATCAGGTAGGCGATCGAGTCTTCCTTAATGAAGTTGTCCTACCTCAAGGGTTAAAAAGGAAATTAGCACCCCGATGGTCCGGCCCATTTCGTATCATATCCAAATTAAGTCCTGTCACGTTCCTTATTGAAAATATTCAAACGAAGAAACAACTCCAAGTTCATGCTAATAGATTGAAACATTGCACCGCTAGACAAGAATTCGAAAGGTCAGAAAGTTTAGACCGATCTCCTACACCAACATCTACACAACCTAAGGTATTATCCCGCCAACCTTCCCTAAGTGCAGACCCATGGGACGAATTTATCCTCACCGAAATTCAACCACAACCAGAAACGGATTTAGAATCAGAGGAAGACGATTCCGAAAGTGAAGAAAGAATAATAGAATCTACCCCTAGAGAAGAACCAAGAGAACCTACTTCCTCTCATTCTTATGCATTACGCAGCCGGGGACCAGTGGAAGAACGTCCCTGGATTCTCCCGACCCCTAGACGAAGTCGAATTCCCAAACGAAAGGCTAGCCCGCCAAAGGAAGGAAATAGCGGTCAATCAAAAGTAACAAGACAGAGTTAATTAGGACAACAGACAAAATTTACAAGAGAGAGAGAGAGTAGATTATAAATCCATTAAACCTCTGTATAACGCGAAAAAAAATCATATTGTCGGAAATAATTAATTAGAATGATAACCATATCATAAAAATAATCATATCAATGTCGGAAATAATTCATGTTAGTATTATGCACTCAGAGAGAGAGAGAGACTTTTAAATATTATGTGTTCACAAAACGGGTCTTTATCATTGTCAAATCAAATTTCATCGAAAATCACAAGAACCTCCAGGAAACACCCTACATCCTCTACCTTCCATTGAAACTTCAGCTCCTTAAAATCGATCTTGCTCACTCAGAACAAGCCCGATTTTGGAAAGGCCGGGGTGATGTGAGGGACGAACAGACCCACAATAAAGTGTTATTTTAAATTTTAATTATTGGAAACTTTAATCGGTTAAATTCGAACGTTTTATCGAGTTAGGCTAAAAGCCATAAAAATTATTTCCCACGGAGTTTGTTCCTTGTTGAGTCGGATCAAGTTAGTCAGGGATGTGTCACCAGGAACTTTTGATGGAGAAGACATATTGGACGTGCGACCGTTAAAGGCCATCACCTGACCTCATGGAAAAAACCCAAGAGGAATGAAAAAGGGAAAAAGAAAAACGACCCCGAAGTCAGTCGTCATCCGAAGTCCCTCTACAAAAGTCGTCATCCGAAGTCCCTCTACAGAAGTCGTCATCCGAGGATTAAAACCGTGATCCAGGATTCAAACCGTGCCCCAGGATTAAAACCGTGACCCAGGATAAAACCCGTGCACCAAAATCCCGAAATAACACCGTGACAGAAGTAACACCGTGTCTCCTTAAGAATCTCACCCCACTTCCGTGCTTCCACACCTCCGAGATCCAATTAACGGACAAGAACTAGTGGAAAGACCATTTCAGAGGAGTCAAGAGTGTCATCATACTACAGATCTGCGACCTAGGAAAAAGAAAGGTATTTATCAACCCGCGATTCGGTTGTAAACTCTCTCTCTCGAACGGAATAGTATAATTAAGTCCGCTAATATGCCCGATATCTCTGTATTTTCTTTGTTTATTATTAAAATGGAATTTTTGTTAGAACATATGGAGTCCGAGTGAGTCACTTCCTCGTCTCTCTCCTCACCTCTACTCCGAATCCAAGCGCTCACACGCTACCGCTCGCGAATCTTTAGACTTAACGTCGCGATTTCCGAGTCCCCTAGAGACTCGGTGGTGTCATCCTGACAGGGCGCCAAAAAGGTGCCGACCCTACGGTCACACGTAAATATGTAATACAAAACTTGTATAGTAGGCAAATAACTGCCATAAGGCTGATCTCATAAAAACTGATCAATGTAAACAGAATATGCAAATGAAAACCTTAGTATTTAAATTTTTGTCAACTTGCTTATTAGAGCGATTGAATGAAACGGTATAAGTAATCACATTATCATTTAATACAGTACCATTTTCGCGAAAGTTTATGACATTGGACAGGATATATTAGTGTAATACCCCTAGATAATATTTTTAATAAAATTTTAAACCTGGCTGCCAAATGGACTAAGCAATTAAAGCTAAAAAGCCAAAAATCAGCTCAAGCCGTCAAAAACCAGAGAAAGTTTACAATGCAAACTTATCGCTAATCATCTGCTCATATTTATCATGAGCCTAAAGAATTTGTGATGTGAACAATAAAAGCTATGTTTCTATGATACAAAAAAGTAAGTATAATATATTTATAAAAACTTATAATAAAGTATTTAAAATTAAATATTAATATTTTCCGACAGGTTTTGTATTATTATTGTCATAATGAACTTTAAAAACTATATATTTGAATCTGTTCATTACCTGAAGTCTCTTCAATGAAACCAAGATTTCTGCAGCATTATTTACTGCACCAGAAAATAGACTAACAGTGCTAACGAAAATGTACATTGAAACAGTCATAGTGACGAATACAATTTGGGCATTCAATTGTCCTCCATTTAAGAAAAAAACAAGATATGTGAGGGAAGTAAATAACTTCGATATAGGATATGAAAATATATGCGCTACTCCTTTTGTATATAGAAACATTCGAACTTTTTTCATTTCTTTCCTGAAAATATAAACAGTTTGTTATAACAAATTATACAACTTTTAAAGTAATTGTAAAAAAAAAACAAAAAATGGCAGAAATACAGTAAAATCCGTGTATATCAGAATTACACCAAATCATTTTCTATTAAACAGGTAAGTTTCCACCTTGAATTGTTTTTATTTAACATAAAGAAACGATTTGTTTTATGCAATTTTTTGTTTATACAGGTATTTAATATCACTTACTCTCTGATTTTCTCCACCAATGCAGCATATGGCAATTCCCAGGTGTACATTTTAATTAATCTCATATCAGCAATCATCTCATTCAATAGGTTCAATCTTTTGTCGCCTAATATGGCTGCTTGTAATCTATAATTATGGAATTAAAATTTAAATATAAACATACACTCTTGAAAACATATGTAAAATTATTTACTAAACATTTATCGAGTTATTTTAAGCTGAGCTTTAATTTTATGAATATTTTATAATCTCAACCAAAACTAAATTTATTTATAGACATGAAAAAAGCTGTATAAAGGTTTTATGATTGCAAACGGATAAGCGATATTGTGTTTCTAGTCATTATTACAACACACATGGCAGAAATATATATATGATAATTCAACAAAACTTTTAAAACATTAGTTAGTCATGTTTTCAACAGTCAGATTTTTATAAATATTTGAACAAATTTGCAAAAATTAATATTTTTTTAACATTCTAAGCAAGTTGATAATCTTCAATATTATCTAACTATCATGAATTCCATTCGATATATGAAATTATATACTCGTTAAATATCTGTATTACATTTTTATTAATGATTACTAATTAGCGCATTATTTCTTTATGTAATTTATAGACTTATCACAATTAAATAATTGTAATAAGAAATACCTCAATTTTGAATATAGTTTACTCAAAGCAAATTGCGTAGGAATGTAGAGAAATATAGCCAGGAATCCTGCTAATATAGTCCATCCATAGTATTGCCACAACATGGCAATAGAAACAATGATGAAGAATGGATTTGTAAATAAATATGGAATGCAGTAAATACCCTGTAATAAATAAGAACGTTTCTTATATACAAAACATCTATTATCTCGATTACAAGTAATATAAATCTCACTATTATTATTTTAAAACATTGTAAAGTATATAATAAACATGTTAAGATTTCAATAGCTATTCTTTTTTCTCTTTAGAAGATTTCCTTAATCAGACACCTACAGGACCATACATTGCTAAATTTTGGACATTATCAGTTTATCAGAATTTTTATTTTTAATATGTTCTACAATTTGAAGGATGAAAACTTGATAAAGATGATATTACTAATTGAGAAAATGAAGAGTATTGTATTGACCATAGATAAACAATTTGCAATAAAGTATCCAGGAATAAATTGATGAGGAACAGGATATCATAAATGCAAAAAAAAACAAAGATTTATTAGAATACCAATCACTTAATTTCTGAAAATTTCCAGAACCATGTAGTACGGATGTAATGCTCGTAAAGAAGTCACGTGAAAACGAGACATTGACAAGAAACTTTATTAAACAAAATAAAACCCGTGATGTTATTCGAAATAATTGCACTGAGTAAATGACTCGAAATTTCAATTGTGCGGTATTACATTTTAAATTTCTTTCACTCTATACAAATATTTGTCTCCTATTTGTTTTTAAGTACATGTGCACCACATACAATAAATATGTAACACTAAATTTCAAAAGAATTAAATCGACACGTTTCAGCTCGCACTAATTGGGGAATATTTGTGTGAAAAGAATGGTCAAATTTGCAAGAGTTTACTTTTCTTTTTACAATTTAATCTTGACAATTAAATTGATTACATACGAATTATAAAAATATATATCAGAATAGCAATATCAATGCATTACTTATTATAAAAAGTAATTATAACGAAAAAAATTAATATTAAAGTTATCAATCACTGTAACGATTCACAGTCGAAGACTAAATACAAGGCCAATAAATTGTAACTAGCCTACTGGCCTTTGAGTGTTTGGTTTGTTTACTAGATCACAAGTTTCAGAGAGTTTTCTTCTGTAAATGTTTCAGGCACTGATTTTCAATACTCGAATCTTACTACATGCGTTGTAAATTTTTGAGTGAATCTACGATACACACAAAAACATTAAATTTTTAGCGCCGCACGTTAACGCCTTAAAAATTAATACATATATATTCACCCAGTGACAATCTAGATATGCTTAAATGTCCAATATTGCGTAAGAAATCATCAATCATAAAGATTCCGGTAAACATAACCATGCAGACAGAAAAAAACTGAAAGCAGACAAAAATGTTACTATTGTAGCATAACAATGTTATTGCAGATTGCTATACTTAATTGTATTTAAACTACGTAAAAAGTAAATGTAAAAAAAGGAGTTTTAAAGTGCACGTCACACAGTATTCAACAATGTCTGCAAAGTTCGTATTGCATGTAGCTTGAAAATTTTGCTTAAATTCAGAAACGGAGTTTCAAATTCGTTAATCCAGCATTTTAAATAAGACATAACACATCACTTGTCTTATAAGTTTCAAATTAACAAACTTTTATTATAATTTTATGTGTGACATGTCTACTTAATAACAAATTCGAAGTCAGAATGGTTGAAATCTATCAGAAAAGATTCAATTTAAGATAAAAAGTAAATATAACGGAAATTTTGATAATTATAATTTATATTAACCTGTTATTGAATTACATATATCATATAACTATTTTTATGTCACATAAAAAATATATTATTATTATTATTAATTTACTTTAACAAACAAACAACTTACATTTTGAAATTTGGTGACATCATTTGCTAGAAGGTTTACCATTTGTCCTACATTCGATTTTTCTAAAGATGAAGGACTTAATTTAATTGCCTGCAAAAAAATATATAAAATACATAATTATTCATATTATTAGCAATAGATATTCGCTACGTTTCCTTTATCCAAACCTGTTTTCAAATAAGTTTACTTTTGGTTACAGGAACAAATTAAATATCTCGACGAATTCTTTTACCAATACACGTATAATTATTATTTAAATCGTTTCAAGAATTACATTTCAACCCTTTCAGTTATAAGAATCAAACATAAAATATAACATAAATAAAGCTCCCATAGAAACATTAAAATTTCGATCTTTACCGAATGGCACTTCATCCTATGGGTAAAATCAGATTGATGGGGTATCTATTAACAGCCAACTTAAGCCAATTATTTATAAGAGAATATTTTACTAGAAAATTTCTGAAGTCAACAGTGTACATTTGGCCTCCTAATTCAAACTTGCTTAGGTCCCATGAAGCTATAACGTGCCACTGACAGTAGCATTCTCTCATCACTACACCAAGTTTAGCTGCCAATATGCACAACATGCTCACTCACTGTCTGATGAATTAAAAACAGCAGTCTAATATCTTATTCAATCACGTTTAGCTTTAGTTACATCTGTGAAATTACGAGGGCACGAGGTCAATTCCCTAATTGCCACTTACATGTCAAGTTGGTAAAACTTGTCCACGTTGTCATTCGGATGGCTGCTGTTATCAACTGGCGAAGGTGGTGAGCAAGTCGGCAGGTGTTTTTTCAGAGACAGGAGACAGGTTTAACAAAATAACAAAGCATTTATTATACGGCTAACACTAAAATACAGGAGGCTACACAGAGTTAAATGCAAGGTTAAAAAAGCTTTTTTCTCACTCTTTCCATGTTAAGAGGGCCTCTGTTTGCAAGCCCATTATGAGTTCAGCCAGGCCCACAACGGGTGACTGGGTGGTGAAGGATAGAGCCCGACATATCCAAACGGACCCCCCGAAAAATTCCTCTGGATTCTTTGAACCGTCCGGATTCGTTCTCGGGTCCCCAAGAGCAGTAGGTTGTTACCTTGACTGCTCGGCCATCCAGCCATCAGGTTATATAGGCTAGATGCGATTAAAATAATATTACAAAGCCTATGACTGATAACTGCTTAGTCTATTCTATGACAGCTGTGCCTACTTCGATTACGAGAGAGTGAGTTTGCAGCCCACTGATAATTACCTCTAAAGTTGGAGGAGTCCTACATGCGGTGATGACAGCGCTTTATGGAAGCTTTGGGCATGTTGATGTCTTCTATCGTTGTCTTCTCCGGAAAATGGCTCGAGCCCGTTGCATGGAGGTTTGGGACACGGGGAATCACTAAGATCAAATATAATTTCAGTGTGCAAACTCTCGAGCTTCCAGTGGCTCGAACCTTTTATATCATTATCGTGAAAAATCAAACACTTCATCGGCTTTAGTTGAAGATGACGGTGCATTCTTGTCAGCTATGTGTCAACTTTCAAACTGACTTGTTACTACCACCGCTGACTTCTGATCTAGTTTCTACCTCTCCGTTTTTTTCTAACGAAGATGTTTACATTTGGAAACAATTGACATTAAATTTTGATTTTAATAGCCCCGTAAAAATCCGTTGGCTCACACATTATTTACTCAATTTGGCATGGATATTACAAGGTGCAGAAGTGCTTTTAAGTCCAATGCAAGCAAGGCATTTACTAGACTTTCCTTTAGTTTCTCGTACATTTGACAGAAGCGACTTTGCTGGCGAACATGTCGTTCTAACGTATACGTTCTTGATGGGGTAAAGTCCATGCCCTGTGGTGGCCAGAGTGGGTTGCAAAAGTCATGCAAAAGAGTTCATGCTTTCTGAACCAATGCTGAAAAAATTCTTGTGCAGTGTGCGATAGAGAGTAGCATTGTCATCAAAGAAAGAGCTGTCACATGCAGGAAAAAAACAAGATTGCAAAATGACCTTGATCGGCAACGATGTTCAGGTACTCGTTCGAAGTCATCGGTCTTTCCAGGAAAATCAGCAGACAAGTCCCATTCCAACAGAACATACTCAATATCATAACACTCCCACCAGAATCTTCAGTCGTGTTAATGAAGCAAGTAAGTACCATTGCTTCATGAGATTTCCTCCAAACCCTCTGTCTACTGTCGGTACATAATAAGATGTATTGTCATTCCTCTGATCACATTACTTTTATCCAGTCCAATCACTGCACTCTTGAAACCATTGTAGATGAGCTTTCAGGTTCCTCACAGAAATCAGTGGTTTTGTATAGACCAGCGACTGTTCATACCGATTCTTTTTACTTACCTGTGCAGATAGGGACTGTTACAAAATTTATTAAGATTTTCTTCCAATTACTGCACAGAGGAAATTATTTTTTAGCGGTTTGCTCTGGACGATGATAAATCACTCAGTCAGTCAGCACGAGTAATTTTATATATTTAGATTTTTGGCTTAAAAGCCAATTATCGTTGCATCTTATATATGAGACAAAGGAACAATGAATTTGCCATTTTCTCTTCCTCTTAAGTTGGACCCAGTCGTGGCTTCTTTCGGTTTTTGATTTTTCTTCAAATGTGATGAACGTCTGTTTTTCACTGGTCGCTCTAATTTGTTACTTCTAACAAGGATATTATCCAGGTACAAGTCTAAAGTCGTTGAACTTGTGAGTCCGTACATCAAAGTTCAGTTTATTCTCCGGTTTCAATTTTTTCCTTACTTTTTATCAGCAGATGTCTCAGCAACAAGTAGCAAGTAACAGAGTAAAGAGTGCTTTCTTATATACTCGTGTTTTATATGCACTCGCTTATCAGTTTTGACCTCCGAAGAAGAAGCTATTAGAAAGGTTGCGGCCAAAGTTTCCATGTCTGAAACATGAACGCCGAACGTCGCGCGCCCCTACTTAAGAACGATGCTCGACGTTCGACGTTCACGTTTGAGAGATAAAAACTTCGGCCCCAACCTCTCTATTCATTCTCGGTCAATGACTTATTCGGTCCTAGTCCAATCTGAAAATTTGTCTGTTACAGTAGCTGCAATTGGTTTACGCTTAACTTTACTTTCTAAGATTGGTCAACCAGTTTTTTACAGCATTTGTGAAAGAGTACATTTGGATTTCAAAATTTCATACGGTAACTCCATTAGATTTATTAGAAAACGTTTTTGGAAATAAGAACCGAAGTAAATACTAATTCGTAATATTATGATTAATTTTGCTGCCCTCAAATAGGTAAACGTTTTTCACACAAATGTTTTCGAAAACATATGTTCTAATAAAAAAATTAACATTTAAGAAGGTTCTTAACCAAAGAAATGGAATAACTTTTCAAAAATTTTTATAAAACGTAATTATTTATTTAAATAAATATAATTTTAATTCACACAAGTATAGTAATGACTTAACCATAAAATTATTGTATTAAATTTTTATTATTAGAGTAATTACTATCCTTGTGTAAATTGAGTGATACAAATGCACAACAAAAGATACATTGAATATCACACTATCAAGTAGTTTTTATACAGTTGTGAAATTATTAGTAGCAGGTCAGAAACGATGATTACATGTTAATTTCTGTATTTTTGTCTGCTTTATATCTATGTAAGATACTCGTGGATTGAAATTCGTACTGGTGTTTATTCTTATACTCCATCAGTATTCGAAAATGTTTTATGGAATAGCTATTCAATAAGTGAATCATTGTTTCAAATACAGTTAAAAATAGGTAAAAGACAAACAAAAATTATATTTACATCTTAAGGTGCATAGCAGCAGGTACAGTACACCGTAGAAACAATATTGCCTGGTTCAAAGGAACAATTTTAATAATTAGTAAGTAACTGGTCACCATTTTACACTTGGGAGATCACATATGTTAATTATAGGGAATACTGAATAGAAATCATACACTATGATTGTACAACATCTTAAACAAAACCTTAATAAAATTAGCATAAATTTTCTGCTGAAATGCTTTCGAAAAAATTAATTAAATTTAACAGAATTGAAGGTAGTGCAAAGCATGGTATTACTGTAGCATAAGAAAATCAACAGATTATATTTATTAATAAGGAATCTAACAAAAACACAATATTTCAAGATATTTATATGTATTGATAGATTTGATTTCTATCCATTTTGTATAATGTTTTTAAAACAAAAATGAAACTATCGATTTATGGAAAAATTGTAATTAAAAATTACTCTCATCTAACTTTCCTTCCGAGAGTACCGGGGTACCGATGCTTAACAATAGGGATACTGATAGATCGGTACCCCTATTGTTAAGCAAAACCACGAGGATTCTGATTCATCAGCAACCTACTAAAATCGATTTTTTTTAAAATTTATTGACAACAGATATCAGCACTTGACTGCATCGTCTTGTCTATTGTCTGTTTATTTAATTTTAAGCATAATCATGCAATAATATTACTATAATAAGTTCATTCATGCAATAATAAGTTTATTGAGCTATAATAAGTCAACCTATTATAAATATTATTGTTGTGATTTTCAGTTTTGATATTTCATATATATATATTTTTTTTATTTTTATTTAATAATTTTAATCGACAAATTTTACAGGTATTACTACTGGTAATCATATGATTATTACAAAAATTTATATTCTTATTTGATATAAACTGAATAAAGTATATTTGTTCATTATATTACTTGATAGCAGAATAAAGTTTTGATTTAAAACAAACGTTTGATATAATGTGCGATAATTTTACAACGAATAAACGTACACGCATAAGTGTTATACAGAGTTCTACAAAACAATATTCTACGTCTTTTTCGCTCAGTGTCAGCAAAAAACTAAGTAACTAGACAATGCTAATTTTGACAAAATGTTACAAATTAACATGGTTAATTGTCAGTCAGTTCTGATATATATATATATATATATTTTTTTTTTTCTTATAATTTTTCTAATAAAATGTATTGAAAAATATCGTATTTAAAACTAAGGATATTAATAAATGTACGTAATGTTTTTCATATTAATATAAGGATAATTTAATTTTTGGTGAATTTTTAAATAATATCGCCTGACTGATCTATATTGTCTTAAAAGAGATTACAAAATATTTATTATTTATTTGTTTTAATTTTTAATAATACAATATAATTGTGTTGATATGTAATAATATATTCAAAATACATTATATTTGATACATACCTTTCTATATATAAGTGTGCAGAAAGCTACTTTTACTTTCATTCCACATATTTCTGACAAAAAGCTGTTAGTATTCCATGTAAACAAATAAATTGCAGTTATGCAAAAAAATCCAGCAATGGATAAATAAATATTGTATTGATTCCGTTCCAATGTTTTATCAAAGTAATGTATTGTTAATCCCAATAAGTATGCTTGGCCTGCAACTACCACCGTATCCTGAAAATATATAAAAATTCAGATATACTTGAATTTTTTTAATGCACGATTAAAGTATTTTAAATCAATTGTTATGTACTTGGGTGAATACAAGTAAAATATGTACTAAGAATTTCCATCCAACAAATCGTAATAAAGCTTTAATAAGACTTGGATTTCTCTTCTGTAGTTCTATGTTCCACTCTCTGAAAAAAATTGCAATAAAGCTTAATTTAAGAGTATATTATTTCAAAGATATTTTAATCTTTTTAAATTACAAGTTTTTATTAATGGGATTTTCATACTGTCATATCGTTATAAAATATTGTAAAAGTTTATTAATCTAGCACCTGATAATCTAGATCATCCAGTAATAATCAACCATGATAGTGATCTGTGTATCAGAAAGTATTGGGATAAGAAGTAAGCTGAATATTGAGCATCATTTGTGACAACAGCGAGAAGTGCTCTCATACACGTTGCTATTTGTCTCAAAGTGAATGTAATCTTAATTAATATGAATTATGTATATTTTGCACGAAGACATTTACTCTGTCAATATGAGTGAAAGTTTCTGTTATATATTTCAAAATAAAGGAAATACACTCTGACTCTCCTCAGAAAGATATTTCTTGATTCTAGAGACACGCAAAATAATTCCAGAGGGGTTGTTCTGCGTGTCTCTAGAATATTAAGATTATTCGACAGAGAAATGTGAGCATTCAACGAACTTGAGATAACCTAAAAAACATTTAAAAAATATGCTTGTATGAAGAATTTTAGATTTTCAATACAGAAATATCAAGTGCTAAAATATTCAAAATGAAAGCCAGATATGCTGCTTTATTATTCACAAACTTATATTTTCTACCGCTTGAAGACATTTGGCACCACATGCGTCAGATTGATGTTGCAACGTAGAAAATTTGTCTATGTAAGCTAAGCTTTTTTATGGAAGACTACCGTAAATATAAGCACATATTCAAAGCCGTTCATTAGATCTTCACATTAAGAGCATGATGAAACTCTGAAGTCACAACCAACATATGGCCGACCAGTGGCCAAGCGGGAATTAGGTCGTGAACTCGCGACTCGCTTGGAAGGCTCTCCACGTACAGTTTTCCGGATTTCCTCGACGTCTTGACGCCTAAATAGGGGCCAGTTTCCTTTAAAAAACCTCTTGGATGGCATTCTCCCTAGGCAGATCGCCCAAGTGTAGCGTTGCCATAACCAAACAAACCAACACAACCAATACTAACTTCTGTAGGTTATTTCCATCGTTTTAGCATTGGCTTATTCTATTCCGTTCTCTCCACGCGATTAATTCTTTATTCATAATAAACAACTTTGTGCAATAGCTGCTGCCTCAGTACTTTTCTGCCCATGATCTCATGCGATTAACTATACTTTTAATAAGCCACCCTTTGATAAAAGCTGCCACGACAGTTCTTTTCTAACTTTCATTTACAATAGTTCTACAAATGCCATATTATGCGTTATAATTTATTTTTCTTAATACTAAAATGTTATTTATTAATAATATTTTTATGTATTTTATTTATTTAGTGTTAGAAGTATGTAAAATGCTTTGATATAAAATTATCGAATAGTAAGTATTTATGTCCACCATTCTGTTTAATTAAAAAACTATGAATTCAATCTACATTCGCTTAAATCGAATTCAGATTGAATTTTTATTAGTATGCTATTTTTGCACATTTAATGAGATATTTTATTCATAAAAATAATCATTATTTTTGTAGCCAAACTAATATGAAACACAACACTGTTAGTGAATAAAAGTGTAAAATATTTTCAAGAAAATCTAATCAAAACTTAATAGCATATCATAATCATTTGTTTTATTATAGATAAATACTAAATACCTATCTTTTCTGTAATCTAAGTTTTTTTACGTATGACAAGTGAACTTGTGGTTTCATGGAATAAAATACCCATTGTTTTATTTTTATAGTTTAGTAAAATATTTAATTTGGTCCCAATTTACATTAAAAATTGACTAACTTACTTTTGAAGCATATTTCCAAGATATTCTGAAGTATGATATTTTGATGACTCGAATAAATCATCTTCCTTTAAAGGTCTCTTTGCTCCTTTAATTATTATTGGAAAAAACCAACTGAAAAATAAATAAATTATAGATTATTGTTCTTTACAATTTCTATCACGTACAGATAGTTCCATCATTACAATTACATGAAAGACAATAAAAAATATTTATGAATACAAGTCAACAATCATTGATTATTTATGAAATGTGAACTTCTAAAACACTGAAAGGAACAATATTTCTATGTTAAATATTATTCTATCTATTATTATTAAAACGTAGCTGATATCTATACTAATATTATAAAAAGATAATGTTTGTAAGTTTGGATGTAAATGGTAATCTCCGAAACTGCTCATCCGATTTAAAAAATTCTTTCACTAATATTTACAATGAAACTGCAGGGTGGACATAGGCTGTATATTATTCCGTTAAACATTCATATAAATTAAAAGATATCATCTAGGTTAAGGCTTTTATGTCCAACAGATGGCGCTACGAGTACGACGACCAAAGTTTGCTTTTCTGTGAGGCATTATGCTTTTCTGTGAGGATGAACTAAAGCAGATCATCATCTATCTAAATGAGCATCTAAATGATCTATCATCGAACTAAAGCAGGTAGGAAGAAACGAAAGGTTCGTTTGTTCCTACCGATTTTTTTAAAATTTTGACACTACGTTGAATTCGAATATGCGCGTGTTTTTATATAATATACATGTCGAAATTTCCCCTACTAGAAGGAGATGGTTAGGATTAAAGCTTACTGTAAAGAACTCTGCTTCTATTATACTATTTCTGATGCGGTTTTTTGCGTTTCTGATTGTGTTTCAATAGGGTACATCAAGAGAATGACACTAAGAAAGAATTTTTCGAAAAATTATCCCATGGGAAAAGTGTTATACATTTATAATAGATACATTTTGAGCCACAACAACGCGTGGCAAAGTCTGCTAGTATTTTATAAAATGATATTCTGTAAATATATAATTTAGACAATCTCCTGTTATATTATTATTAGAATGATCACAGTTAAAAATATTTACATTTATGACAAAATCTGTTTTAATAGTAAAATCTGTGTTATCGAATTTTCATTTATTCAATGTGCCCATTTTCATAAATCATCACTTAACGATGACATCAGAAATTGAAGTATCTTGATGCAAGACTAAAAATAAAACCGAAAGATATAAAACACTTCTCAGCAGTAAGTACGTTTTCTTAAAAGAAAACGCAGAAAACTTGTGTTGCGCAATGAAATAGCATAATCATATAAAGAAAATTAAAAATATGAATTCTCCTTTTTTCTTATTAACTTTAAAAAAGAAAAGCAAAATATATACTTGACGAGAAAAAATTTAACATAAGTAAGACTCCGTTTGCTCATAAAATTAACATATATAATTGTGTAACAAATAGTTTATTTCAGTTAATTTATGCAACAATAACAATTTTTATTAAATTGCATTAACAGAAAACACGATTGTTTTACATTTGTTGGTAAACTTAAATTAAGTATTTACTATTACATTAATTAAGTGTCCAGCAGTAGCTGAGTGGATGGTAGTTAAACACTGAAAACAGAAAACTGTTAGTTCGTCAATGGTTCACGCCTTGAGAACAACCTGGACACGTGCAGTTTTTCGGGTTTTCTTTACGTTTGTAACACTTAAATGCGGATCAGGCTCCTAACAGTTTTCCTAAAGGCATTTCCCTAGGGAAATGGCTTCCTGGCTGATTTTAACATACACAAAACCAAACCACATTTATTTCTATCTTCAGAAAGTAATTAATGTAAAAATAATTCTTTTCTTATCTTCTTATAAAGGATGTTGATAATTAAACGCTTTAATTTTGAATGCTTATAGCAAACCAAGAATTTCAGTCCAGTGTTGTAATTGGTTTTGTGTAGGAGAAAAAATTTTACTATTTAAATTTTTTGTAGGAAGCACCCTGTTAGCTGCTTTTGCAAAAATTGTGTTGCTAGAAGAGAAAACTCACGTTGTTATATGATTTTCTGCGTTTAAGATTTATGTTGTTATGTAAAGTAAGTTTTTTCTTTGCATGTTGAATTTGTATTACACGGAAAACTTGTTGAATTGACTTCAGTATGACGCTTGGGAGACAACTAGAATTGAAACTGTAAGCACCAATTTTGGCTGTTTCATGCAATTTCAGTGTACTATTAATTTTCAAAAAACTTATTATTGCACGCATTAAGTATTGTCACATCTGATGCTTTTTTTGTAATTAGTGTTTCTCAAACGGTATCCAGGTTCGTTTTTAACCCGAGAAATTCTTTTCATTCAGGAAATTTCTTAAAAATTCACTTTATTCTAATTTTGTGTTAAAGTTGAAAAAATTTTGCAAATAGAAAGCATAATTAACTCATAAACTGTCAGAATACATTATTATTTATTAATTTTAGACCTACTTATTAGGTTTTTAAATCTTTGCTCCTTACAGCATGTCACAAATGGTCAATAATTAATACCTAGCTTATTTGTGGCTGGATTCTAAAAATTCTTTACTTGTATGAACCTGTAATATATGAAATAATTGTGCTTATGCTGTCATAATTTCTAACCATTCCCAGTAGCGTCACTGTGTGAGTAACGCCAGATTGTGCAAAATTAGGCAAGTCTGCCAGTATGAAGTTTTTCTTCATAAACCCGATTATTAAAGACAAATAAACTGCCGAATTATCGGGCTATAACCTTAATGTTCTATTAAAGCATTTCGGGTAGACAAATCAATCAAGAATACAAAAGAACAGAACAAGTACAATTTTGAAAACAAACTATAAATCTTCCAGGTTACAGGTGAAAAAACATGTAATATCTGTCGACCCTTAAATGCATTAAACACGATTCCACTCACATGAATTGAATCAAAAAGGGCATTCTCTGTAGCAGCACTTTACACTATTAAAATAAGAATCAAATCGAATGATCGAAATATTCACCATCTTTGCTTTTTAAAATCTTATTATAAAAGTTTACAATAATATTTTGTATTATGTTTTATTTAAATAACGAAAATTACTTGTAACTTAGAAGTTTGATCTAAGTTCATTTTTTTCAATTTTTAACTCAATTCCAAGCATTTTTTTCCTTTTGTTCTTGTTGTATGCATTTTCCAGCAAACTTTTATAAATTTATTCTATTTGTAGAGTTAAATTACTTTAAAAGATGAAAAATTACTATATCATTTATTTCCAGATACTAGTAGCCCTGGACACCCCTAGTGGGCGTTCTTTACAAATTTCCATGAGGCACGGTTCCATTGACTTTTTTGTTCCTATCAATATGCTCTACAGCTCCGTTAAAGTCCCAATGGTAAGATTTACCCTCCGAATGAAGGAGTGGCAACCCCCAAACTGTAGACTCTGTGTGAACAATAAAGTCAAAGGTACCATATCCCTAGGCGCGACCGTTTGCGAGATATAAGCCCTGATAATTCGCCTACGTCATTTCCGGTCACGTGGCACCGTGGTTAAAAAAAAGGCTACTGCGCGAAAAAAAATAAACGCGCTCTCGTGCATACTCAGGGGTCGCCGACCCTCTCTTTTGCAGGGTAAGTTGTGGCAAACAGGCGGTCACGTGACCCGTAGAATAATTTTCACAGGTCTATATCTCGGGAAGGGTCGCGCATATGGGTATGATTCATTAGATATTTATTGTTCGCACAGAGGGGGTCCCCATCTCTTCATTCGGAGGGTAAATCTTACCATTTCAATTGCGTCATACGGATCGATATTACTACCTATTAAACATTCTATAAATACTTTAAAATAGTTTAATTTGTTTATTTACCTTCTCTTGTAAACTTCGATTTTAATTTTTTCTGCCATTTTTTCAACAAATTTCCCTTGAGTTAATGCGCGATGTTCACTGAGCCACCAGATGTAGTAACCATGCGGTGCAAGGTTAATCAAGGCATATAATAAGGCAAGGTAAGGCATATAATAATTATTTATACCATTCCGTGATATAAGTAATAAATTCATATCAATAATAAATTCCTATTAAAAATAAAAATAATTTATTGTTAATTTAAAATCTTCGCTAGGGCGCCTCTAGTGCCCGTTTTTGACATATCGTTACGCGGACGGATATCCGTTCAATGGATTATATATATAGACTAGCTGTTACCCGCAACTTTGCCTGCAGAGGTTTTTCAAGCAAACCCCATTTATATTCAGTATTTCAACAACCACAGTAATTGTTATATAACACCTACCGAGAATTGTTTCATAAATTGAAAAATTGAAAAATTGTTATATAACACGCCGAGAATGATGAGAATGGCTAGAAATCAAACAAACAATTTTGAATTTGATCCATTTGCTGGAACGTTTACAATCGTTCTATAATCGAACCGATACGCACTAACAAACTGAAATTTAAAAAGGTTGGAACATTTGTTTAAAAAATCGAAATATATAAAAATATTTATAACAATGTCTGAAATGTTAACACTTAAGTACTTAATGAAGACTAAACGTAACAAAAAATCGCATGTAAAATAGTACAGTAGAAGCCGTTCTTCCAGTTAAGAATTAATCCTCTCCTTCTCCCCTTCGCGGAGGAATTTCGAAAAATTCCTTCTTAGTGTGCGTTTCAATGACGTGCCTTAACTGTGTACCAAATTTCACCTCTTGAGATTCAGCGGTTTGCACTGGGCGATGATGAATCAGTGAATGAGTGAGTCAGTCAGGACAAGCAATTTTATATACTGTATATAGATTTTGTATATCTTAATTATAAAACTCGATATATTAAACTTACGTTTTTAAGTATAAATAAATAATAACAATAAAGGACATAACCAAAATTGAATTGTTGAATTCCAGTGACTTTTTTATACGTTTTTCTTATAATGTAAATAAACACAAGTAGTTTTGGAGAAAGTTCGAAATTTCAAAAGTTATATAAAAGTGTCCAAAATTTGGATGGAACGTCACTTTGTTTGAAACGAGAGCAAATAATACATTTCTTGAGAATAAGTGGGCAAACGGTAAAAAATGAAGAGCAGGGGAAAAAACCGCAATTAGGGTGCCAACTCAACAAATATTCACAATCAGTTTAATTAAAATTCATTCCTTTTATTGTAAATTTTTTTCAGACTTTTTTAAAATGAAAATTGATGATAAAACAATTTTTCTATTTGAAAAAATATGTCCCTTTTGATTTAAAAATTCAAAAATCAGTTCTCGAGTTTTTCAACTTCCCAAAGAAAAACATTTTTATATTACGATAGTGATTCGCTCGATTGTACTAAAAGACTGGTGAACTCTATTTCCTGTACAGACGATTTATTTATGATATGACTTTTGTGACATTTCAAATTCTGTGCGATGCCAATATCCCTCGTATCATCTTTAGTTGCTCTTTAATTCCTTTTTTTTTCTGCTCACCAATTCGCTGAATAAGTAAAGCAATTCTTCAATACTTGATCACTTTGCATAAATCAACCATCTATTTCCAATACTCTTCATGTCAACCATTTTAACTTTATTGAATTTGCACTCAATTCATCCACTTCAATAAAGCTACACTCCCATCAATAAAGTTTTCACTCGCTTCGCTGAATTTTCTGCTCGCTTCGCTGACTTGATTAAAAGCATTGTCACGATTGGTCGATTTATGAAGCCATCATTTTTATTTTTCGTTTTAAGAAATATTATTTTGGAAATATTTATTTTATAAATGTCTTTACAAGAACACATCTTAAAAAATCGTGAAAATACAAATTACTGTATACACGTTGAATGCTTATAAAAATGAATTATATATATATATATTTTTTTTAAACTTCCAAGGTTGATTTTAAATATCGAACGAATTATATAAACATATAGAGACTACATGATTATGTATATACATACATAATCATATAACAGTTATATATACTGTGTTTCTGTTCAATATAAAGGTCCTATTATTAGCAAGACAATACGATCAAAATAATAAACTCTCCATCGACTAAAGTTAATTTGCATTTCTATATACAACTTTAAAGTGATATCAGCAAAAATATTTTATTCGATATTCTAAGTCGTAATTGTTGATTGTCAAGTAAGAAATATTATTTTAGAAATATTTATTTTATAAATGTCTTTACAAGAAAAAATCTTAAAAAAATGAGTGATTAATTGCCACGTGTATAAGACATATTTGATTAATTCAACGTTCCTTGTCAACAGCTAAATTCTTATAACGATATACAGTGAAAACTGCTTAGGCGACCACCTGCATTCGACGGGCACCTGTCAAAACGGGCAAAAATTTCTGGCACGGAATAGTTTATCCATAGAGTCTTCGTATAAGTTACCTGTATTAAACGACCACCTGTGTAACGCGACCGCGGGCATCGATTTTTGGTCCGAAAGAACATACAACACCTGTAATAAGCGACCACTTTCGCGAATGTATCTGGTCTAAACTATTGTAAGAACCCATCTCAACAACGTTTCCACCTCCTAATATAATGAATTAGTCTAAACTCTCGTTCGAACCCATCCCGGGCACTTCTCCCACCCTCGAAATTAGGTGCAGGTGTTAATAAATTAGTCTAGCAACAAAGGAAATTCATTTCAGTTTGTTGGAAAATGTCCGAAATGCAAAGTGCTGTCGTTAGAAGATCGTATTAAAGTTATCACAACAGCAATTAGCGGCGAAGTTTAACTGTGGGAAAACAAAATTTATTTTACCCTAGACCTACAGTATTTTCCTTGGGGGTGTAAAATATTGTACACGATACAATTAATCGGCTGATCTCATCGTTTGATAAAATCTATTTTTATTTATTTATTTTGAAGCTCATATACAGTACACGTGCGATAAATAGTTTCTGTATCAACCTACCTTATTTCCACGATATTTTTAGAAAAATAATATCCAAGTAATTTTCGCAGGCAAAATATTCAAAAAACAATAAACGCATTAATGCAAAAATCAGTTTTACTTCCTTTTTCGATTCCGCGATTGTAATGAAATCGTATAATGAGAAAAAATAATAAAATCGTTTTATTATTAATTAATAATTTTTCTTATTGTACTTAATTAATTAAGAAAATATTAAATATTAAAAAAATACAGTATTTTTAAAGTTAAAATAAGATTAAACTAACGAAAACCAAAAGCAAAGTGATGGAGAGATAGGACGCGCTTGTATATTGATGACGTAATACACGTAACTGAGGAGCGAACGAAAAGAACCGAGTCGAATTAATTAAGTCGGAAAAAAGAAAGTGTGCATTATAATCGAGAAAATGCGAGTATTGTATTAATCTTTAAAATATTGGTGTTAAATCTGTCTTATAATATCATGACGACTCTTGTAAATCGGGTTATCCGATAAGAATAAAATACAATACCAATATAGTCCTATCGTTGAAAAAATTCGCTTATTTTTCCTCGCCTCGAGTTTTGCTTAGTAGAAATGGCTAAAAAGTACGCAAAATACGTACGGAAATACGGTATTATAGCAACACCTGTATTGGACGACCACCTGTCTAAAAGACCACTTTTTGAAGGAACCGTGGGTGGTCGCCATAAACAGGTTTTACTGTATTTACACGCAAATAACACGATGTTTTCTAGCGTTAAACATAACGAATATTTTTTTTTCTTGATATATTCTGCAAACTCAAAATCGTATTTCGAAGAAAATATTTTCCCTCTAGCATAAACACAGGAATGACAATAAAATTTAGTTATATACTGTACTGGTAAGATATTTAATATTTGTGCAATAACATCCTCTCATGAATAATAAAAAGTCTGTAATTTCAGTTAAGTTGTTTCTGGAATTAAAACTTTACTTTTATCATTATAATATTCGACTTTTGCTATTTCCATCATCTATTCAATGTCATTACATAAGATATAACCCATCAATCGATCATTTTTAATATTTAGAAAGCTAGTTTCAGTTTTCGCAATCCCTTTTTAGACTCAAATGACGTTGTAAATGTAAATGTTAAATATTGTAAGTTCTTGTGTAATTAAGATTGATATATTAATATATATATATATATATATAATGTATAATTGGTGATTCTGTAGTTCTGCTATGTAATTAAAATTTTTTACTAGCAATTTAATATATTTATTTATAACATATAATTATATATGTATAATCATATATTATATTTAATAAATTATACATATAATTTGACATATTTATTATAAGCTTATAATTTATATGTCAAATTGTTAGTAACAAATTCGAATTACATAACAGAACTAATTATTAAAATAATCTATGCTATTTTGACATAAGTATATATTGCGAAACTCTCTAGAATTCACCTGAACTATAGGTGATAGCTCAGTCTTATTAAAAAATTCAACTTGATCTGATACACCAGTGTAACCTTGCAGGGTCATAATAGTGTACTCTAACTTAGAATTCTTATTCACACTTCAAAGTGTTAGTTATATAAATATTATACAAGAATCTACAAATAACGGAAGTTTACTTTAAATGTATAACATAATATAAAGAATTTAATTGACTTGTTAATTACATTTTGCGCAATATATTGAAACAAATGTATAAAAACACCATATTGGATTGAACAATGTATGACACAACAATTTTAAAACTCATTGTATGTATATATAGTTTTTTCCGTTTATCTTACTAATGTTAGTTCAATTTTTACAAAGGAAAATGTCAAGTAAATGACAAGATTTCATCCTATTAACAATATAGCCCATAAAATATAATGCATAAAAATACAAGTTTAAATAGAAAATAAAAAACATAAATAGCAATAGCGCAAAAACATTATACGCTAAGAATTATAAAGTATTTGTTTATAAACTCGTTGAAAACTACTAATATCTTCATATAGTACTTTTCTAAATTCTATCATATTAAGTCAGATTCGATACAGGCAAGATCATTCAAAAATGCTCTGTCTATAAAACGGAAAAGAACGGAGTAAAAACACATCATGAGTTATACAATTTTTATTGTGGAATTCTTAATCGTAAACGATCCGACTGTTAAAACATTTATGAAAGTGCGAACGATCGAAGTATTTGACGCGAACTTTAAAAATCAGAAGACCCTTTTATAAGTTATTTATCAATATACTACTGTAGTTCCAACAATAACATGTGAATGGGAATTTTTGATGTTTAATCTCCTACTTTGTGATAAGAATTAAATATATAAATAATATAAAATTTGTGCATATGATGTAAAATGTAATGACACTATAAAAATACGTTTTCTTTTTAAATTTCATCTGCTAAAATGAATACTCTTCTCAGAACGAATTTAATAGTTATTCATATCAAAAAATGTTTATAATATAAAAAAATTAAATAATATTACGTACCAATAAAACAAACGTGAGAAAACACCAGCTGAATCGTATGTGTTGCTCTTAACCATCTTCATACTAATAATATGTCGCATCAGAAATGTTTAATATACTACGTCTACAGTGTTATTCATCAAATATAGATATCTCTCAGACATTATATAAGTTATCCAAGTACTGTACATTAAAGTGTAAAGGTTTAGAGAGTTATTTCTGTTCATAAAACCTTGAAGTTATAACAAAATATAATAAACAGTTTAATTATCATTTGAAAAGAGTGATTCGTAATTGATATTAACTAAAATTTGAATTTCTTTTGTATACTTTAAATATTGCACATACTGTATATACAAACAGATGCATAGTGCGAGCATTTATAAATACATTAAAAATAATTACTTGATAAAACGTGTTCATCGTCATTAAATATATTCACGTTTTTAAAGCCATTCGTTATATTTATGAAGGTGTTTTTATAAATAGGTCAAAGTAAAATAGTGCTGTTTATATAAAAATCTGTTAGTGTTTTATTTATGATAAAGGCAGATATGTGTTAAATACACTACATAATATACATAAATTTAATTAATTTAATATGATGAAAGTTCTCGGAATTAGTTCGAAATCTGAGCACAGGTAGCAGTGATACTCATTTCTGACACAAAGCCGATGCACCCGGCGATAAAAGAAATTAATGTCTTTAACGAGAAAAACTGAGGATTTCACCACGGATTTGAGAAAGTGGCGATGACTGACTCAACTGATTGCTGATTATAATATTACACGAAGAAATCAGGACTGCAGTTCAGAAGGTCTCGGAAAAAACATCGTTTTCGATGCCGGAGTTGTCACATAAGAAAAAAATCCCTATTTTTTCATATCGACAGGTTCAATATCTTTTGCTATTTAGTGGCTCTTATGCTCCTAATTACTTTATGCATTATCGCGATCATCTGTAATCTGAATTGTTTTTAGTCCAACTTTATTAATTTGTATGTTGAGGTCATCCTTACTGGTATGCGGCTTGGGTGCAAATCTAGTTTTGTGGTCGGCATTGTTTCTGAAGTTTTTGGATTTGGTGATGTTGTGGAATTCTTGGAACATGAGATTATCGGGGAAAATTGGATGCATAAAATTCTAAGCATCACGTGAAGAGAGCTGTTACGACATCAATTAAAGTTTGGGGTATCAGCGATGAAACTATTTGTTGATCGTAATCCATTTGTCATTCTTGCCGACTATCTACTTTCAGAGGACTTTGGTTTTGTTTATTGGTTGCATCCACGAGTGTCAGTAGGCTTACACATTTTATCATCGGTCCAGATTCTATCTGTTTTTTATTTCTTTCTTTCCCTTTCTTTAGGAAAAAGTGACTTTATTTCATGGACGTTTTGATTAACCAATTTCTTAATGTTCCTCTCAGTGCACATTTGATTATTCGGAGTTGGCAGATTTTCCGGGTTAACTTCTTGTAGTCTAATTATTAGTATTTTTTTTCTCTCTTGCCTCCTTGTTATGTAGCTCCAAAATGTTTTCCCCTGTACAGACTACTCGGATGATGATTTCCACAGTGGTGAAGGTCTCTATTGATTAAATTCTTTTGTTTGTCTTCTTTATTGTGGCAGATACTCAAAAGTTTATTCCTCTTTCTTTGAAAAGTTTTATTTTCTCTGCTTAATTTATTTCCAGTCACTGGTCTTTTATTATTATGTCTAGGTGAAATATTGCAGATAGCTTTAAATTGTTCTGCATTAATTAACATGTGCATTTACCTCATTAAAGCAAAATTTACTTTTGTGAGGTCTAGCCGGAAGTTGGTAAACCCATTTACCACTTAATTGGCAAACTAATGAGTTTGCTTTTGTTTTTTTGTATAATTCGTCTCTGTAATCCAAAATATTTGGTAGACGGACTCACAGCAAAACAATTAGTTAGGAACTCACTTTTATTCTCTAGAAAATGACATATGCATTTCAGGTTGGTTTACTCTACCAACCCCTCTTCAGTGCTAAATTTTCAAAAAAACAATAAAAAGCTACAATAACAAATACATGGCACAGAATTACAAAATATTACTTCTTACTTACTCTTAAAGTAAAAGTTGTGTATGTGCTACCACTACATCTAAACACCAACACTTTGTTTACCATTTAAAATGCACTTGAAGTGTTTGCATAACGACTATAAAAAAAATTTACAGTATAGTCATGATGTATATTGGTTTTTTTTATAGTTGTTATGCAAAAGTTTAAAATTATTGATTTCCTTACCTGTCCATTATTTTTTTGACAGAGTTGAATTGTTTGGACCACGAGGCATGAAAAATTTTGTCAAGGTCCTGATGAAAATGTGCAGACAACTGAACGTGCGAAAGAAAACCATTGAGTCAAGACCGTTTACACGTGCAACTACCGTGTTTCCCCGAAAATAAGACATCCGCAGAAAATAAGACCTAGCACAGATTTTGCTGAATTGCGAAATATAAGACCCCCCCGAAAGTAAGACCTAGCGAAGTTTTTTTTAGTGGTAACGGTCACCGACAGATGGTTGAAAGTGGCCGTTGACTTTTCGAAAGTACAGCCACTGATTGGTCATCAATTACGCCACACGGCATGATTTGCATAAGACTATGGCTTGGGAATCACAGATTTGCATAACGTTACGGCTGGTGATGGCTAATTGGTCGGCCGGGAATCACGCCACATACATTTGCATAGTGCTACGGTTCAGTAAGCACTAATTGGTCATCGAGTCCGATGTTGACGCTATAAAAAGGCGACAGTTCGACACACCGGATATATGTCACTCTCGTCTAAGTTCGACTTGGGAATTTTTTTGTTCAATAATAAATGTGAATTCTTCTTCCTGGAAAAAATAAGACATTCCCTGAAAATAAGACCTAGCGTATTTTTCAGAGCAAAAATTAATATAAGACACTGTCTTATTTTCGGGGAAACACGGTAGCTATGTTGCTGACGTCGACGGACACACACCATTTGTATGTTGCGATTGGATAATTTAAATTAGCAAGCAGTGACATTAGTGAAACTTTATTAAACTAAATTTTCCTCATTTTTTTTGTTAATTTATGAAATATTAATTTGTACCGTAAATGGTACTTGAAATATTATAATGTACTGAAAATGTACTAAAGATCTAAATGTACTTTCAATTTACTGGAAAGGGCAAAATGTACCAGAAAAGTACAAATGTACTAGGAACGGCAACACTGTAAGTGATACATTCATTTATTTTCTTATGTAAGCTGTCGTGACTTTCGAGTATCAAAATAATATCATAATTATTTAATTTACTTTTAATTTTTTCAAAAATATTCATTACGTAAGGGATTTTAAAAAGTTTTTAAGTTATGTGTTGTCAATTGGTTGTTTGTGTGATTAACTTTTTTATTATTAATCCAGTTATTGATCACGCACTTTCTATAACAAAGTTCATTTTTCTGATGTCTTCTATTGCATTGAATTTATCGGTATAATATGTAGTACGTTGTGTAGTTTTATCCAAGTACATGTAAAAACTATTTTTTTTACATAAATGGGTACTTTAAATGTAGTCTATGTACTTTAAATGCTGTCAATAGTACAGGTTTTTTTATATTTTTTGAAAATTGTTTTGTCTTTGATTCTTGTGACTAGAATGTCAAAGAATGGTAAGTGACAGTTGCTTTCAGGTTCTAGATCAAATTTAATGTCAGTATCTATTTCATTTAAATGTTCCAGAATTTGGTCAACCTGTTGTGATCATATACGACAAAACAATCGTCAATGTAACGGTACAGTTTTATTATTTCCCTGATTCTGAAAGGGTTAAAGAATATAACAGTATTTGACAATATAAGTATAATTTTTACAAGAATTATTCCAACAAAGAAACAGAATATAGAAGTTTTTCGAAATTAACTGATGAGTCCAATGCATTTTTACAATTGCCCAATTGAACTTATCTTAAAAGGAAGTAGGTTATGTAGATTTATTTTTTTTCGATGTCGTATTACATTGATAATTTATCATTATATAAACATACATGTGAATTTAATTGATAGTTTTAATCAAGGATAATTGAAGTGAGTAATCTACACTTGTAATTTTGTTTGCAGTCAAATTAAAAGGATAGAATGAGGAATCGATAGAGTTAAATTATTAGTGGAATAAGTTTAATATTAAAAGAACCTATATATTCTAAATTTTATTTGTCATTTATGCTTCCTGTATATATTATTTTTGTTTTGTATAACTAGCATAGAACTTTAGATAATGTAACTTAGAGCAATTTCGAAATAGTTCATATCCTATTGTCATAGATATCTTGAATTACAAGTATTACTCTCTATATAATTTAACAACTATCATTGAAAAATAAAGAGATTAAATAATTTGATCATAATTATTCTAGATTAAATTTAATAAAGAGAGAAAGTATTTTAGAAATTCTTTTTGTTGTTGTTGTAATAATACCTTGACTTTGAAGGTCTCTTACGAAATTTTATTGCCTAAGGAATATAAACCCAGGACATTTTTAAAGAAGAAAATAACATTTACAGTTTTGTGAGATTTTCTACAGAGACAGAGACCATAATTTGATGAGTGCTTTAGAAGAGAAGACATCGATTTATGGAACTTTTTTTTCAATATAATGAAGTCACCATTGAAGACAAACAAAACCTGAACTGTGATTCTGAACGAAATTAGATCAACAAGGAGAGACCGAACTTGTAGATGTCTCATCACCCACCACCCAAGACATTGTGGAAGGAACTGTTTACAGAATTTGATAACTTGGAGAAAAAGATAATCGAAGTGAATTATATTCGACCTACACTTGTAACCTTTTTATTTTAACCATGTATAATCAATGTTGTTTTTATCATATGCAATCGCAATTTTTATTTTATCGCTTTCATTGTAATCTTACCTAACTGAAAATTTAGTATACAATAATGGCGCATTTTTTATTTTGTTTATAATTTAGATGAAAGAAAGAGAAAATTTAAAATTGTTAGCGAAATGTGAAAAATCATGCCAATTTTAAATTTTGGGTAATTTTTGAAGAAAAGAGAGTAATGTGATATCCGCGAAGCCGTTTTTATT